GTCTAACGCGTTACTAATCAACCCTACCGTTATTACTGCTATTAAGCCTGAACACTTTTACGGTATCCGTTCACAGTAAGATCAAAATCAACATGCAGTTGATTAAATCACACAAATAAAATGGTTAGAATTATTTATTTATTTATTTGTTGTCGACTTGTCGCTTGACACGAACATATGGTATTTTGTATTTATACTTACGTGTGGAATACGGAGATGGGGAAGGGATAAGCGGCGTTTTCGCCTACTCTTTGATTCCAACTGCCAAGCAATATTTTAATGTGCAATACCAAATTATGCATGAAGACCTTTGTTTTACGTATTTTACTTGTAGTGGATTTGAACATTTAGTTATTTTATAGGGTCAGTTATTTATTTGTCTTTTACTTTCTTATTTTCATTTCTTAAAATGTTTTCATTTTTTCAGTTGTATCTTACTATAAGAAATCCAACCATGGATACGAGAAGATTTGTGAACTGAGAGTTCCAAGATCACCATCTCTATCATCAGCATCATCCAATGAAGATAGTAAGAATTTGGACGAAGATTTAGACGACACTTGTCAGCTGAACTTAAACCAAAACCAACATTATTCAGTGATCAACTGGGCTGACGAAATCTCTTATGAAGAACCAACAAATATTCCTTATTGGGCATTGATACCTGGATTAGATTTTGATCGACATGCTAAAGATGATTACTCTACCACAGACAAAATTGATGACTTCAATCAAATTCACCATCAGTATGTTATCAACTGGGCCGAAGAACCTGTGCATGATGGACCCGTAGATGTCCCTGACTGGGCTTTGATACCTGCATTTGATTTTAATCGACATGATAAAGATGATTTTTCTAGAAGACAATGGGCTACCACAGAAAATATTGATGACTTCCGCCAAATTCACCATCAATATGTTATCAACTGGGCTGACGAACCTGTGTATGATGGACCCGTAGATGTCCCTGGCTGGGCATTGATACCTGGATTAGATTACGACCGCCATATCCATTCATTCACCCAAGAAAATGTTGGAGAATTTGACCCAATCAACCATAAATTTGTCATCAACTGGGCTGAAGAACCTGTGTACGAAGGAGCCGTAGACATTCCTAGCTGGGCTTTGATTCCTGATTTTAAATTTAAAGTCACCACCAGCCAAGTAGTATTTGCTCGAGTAACAGGTTCAGATAGCGATGCTAGAGAAAACTTGACAAAAGATTTTGTTAATTGGGCTGAGGATATGTCTGAAGATGAAGTTGTTGATGTACCAGAATGGGCGATGAACAGAAACTTGTATTTTAACAGACACAGAATCAACGCCAAATCATATTTTATCGATGTTGTATTTGGTTTATCTACTATTTGGGAATAATATGTATGTGAGAGTTGCATCAACTGTGAATTCAACTTAATTGTGAAGATATTTGCGAGAGAGTTGCATCAAGCGTGAATTCAAGTTAATTGTGAGGATGTATGCGAGAGTTGCATCAACTGTGAATTCAACTTGTGAGGATGTTTGTGAGAGTTGCATCAGGCGTGAATTCTGCTGTATGTTTGTGTGAGAGTTGTTTCAATTTAATTGTGAATTTAACTGTATGTTTGTGAATAAGAATGGGGTATGGTTGTTTTAAGTGTGATGGTATCGTGCAGTATATCTATATATTTATGAATAAGAATTTATTATTAAGTGTTAATTTAACCGCTATATTTGCCAATAAGCGTGTTTGAAAGATTGTTTAGGTGTTAATAATTATTGAAATAGAGAGGGATACGAAGTGGAGAAATTTTCTTATTAAGGGTTGGAGTGTTGGGGGGGGATGTAGTTATTTTGGAATAATATATTTACAATACGTTATATTTTAATTTAATTTTAATCTTGTAAAAAAAAATACATAGTTATTCTTAGGATATATACGGGTATTATATATATTATTTTTTGGTCAAATTTATACAAGATTATAGTTTTTACATGTTTTTGAATTTTGTAATAAAAATCCTAATTATAATGTGTGTATCTGTTGTATATAAACTGGTGTTATAAATGAATGGTTTGTGTGACTTGTACAATGTCAATATCCAATCGTATAGTTCTAACAAGTCTAGGGGGGGGGGGGTCGAATGGTTAGCACGGGCGCGCTGTATCATAAGGCCTGTCATTGAGTCAACTGGCGTGGTTTCGAATCCCCGGTTGTACGTGACAAGGAGTAGGGTCGTCTGTCCAACCTCGTGGGTTTTCTCCGGGTCCTCCGGTTTCCTCCCACTGCTAAAGACCCCTATGCGTAAGCGAATTATTGAAATAAAATTAAACCATATGTTAGTCTCGAAATGACCTGGTTTGTGTTGAGTGGACGTTAAACCCCATTTCTCTCGCTCTAACAAGTCTACAGCAAATGTTCGCAATACATGGGTTGGATGGTGGACATGTTGTGGCCACTTACTTTACTAAATGGAGAGGCATGCTGATGTAAGCACAAGGATATAGGGTTCAGGGACTGATATTATTTCTGTTAAAGATAAATATAAGCCCCCCCCCCCCACACACACACACCCGCTTGTATAAGCTAATGTGTGGGCCCACAATAAAACTCAGTAAAATTTGCCCAACACTAGGTAATAAATTGTCCTTTTCACATTCATGTCATGCATGAAGTAGGCCTAGGGCCTATGCTATTCATAGCTTCACTTTTCCCACAAAAAATAACACTATTCAAAATTTTAATAATTCCATGGACATTGTAAATATGTAAATAGTTTTCTGGTACAATGGTATTTTCATACTTCAAATCCAAAAAATATCACATTATTAAAGGGGTATTTAAGTAAAAATGCAGGTCTAAATACGAAATTCCAGATACCATGTTACGTATCACTGATTGCTCTTTTCAAATATGCAAATAATTTTCTAGCACATTCATATTTGCTTAACTTTACAAAAAGTTGAAGTGAAGGAAGGGTAGGTGGGGGGGGGGGGCTAAACTAAACTAAAATAAAGATACGGGGCTTAATCAAAAATTCCCTATGTCCATACTAAAAAATGTATAGTCATTCCTCTCTTTAAATATATTATTTATTGGTTGGGCACAATGCTATTGTTGTTTCTTTAATGGATCAAAGTTAATTAGGCTGTACTCAATTCTGTTTATAGAGAGACCAGAAAGAGTGGGGATGTTTAAAATATTAAAATACGGGTATTAATACGAAATTCCAGTTATTGTGTTATAAATTACTGGAAAGTGTGTTTCTTTGGCTGTTTGAATCTATCAATTATTTCCTGGCACATTCATGATTACGCACGGTCGTCTAGATAGTTTCTTATGGTATACCAGCTTGATTTACTGTTATCGTGCGGTGAATATCCTTGTAGTGTGCTGGTTTATAGTGTGCCGGGTTTCCGTATATTAATAAGTCACGTGATATCCTACATTTGCATATGAAAGTTGATGCTGTGCGAAAGTTGCTATGTAGAAAGCGTGAAGGACAAATGGGATCAGTGGCGTCGTGCACATTGGGGCCTGGGGGGGGGGGGGGTGGATACAAATATTTTTATTGATATTATTAAGACAGAAGACCTGTCCGTCTGTTTTAGTCATCACATGGTCTCAGGGATTGTATAATTTGTCATTATCCGTGTTTAGTTTATTGCACTTTAGTTTAGATATCATTTGTTAAGGCCTCGCCATAGAGCTATTTCTATATAACTCGCTTCGTACACTCTATCATTTAGCCTCGATTTAAAATTTCCTGGAGTGTGACGTCAACGTAACGGTTAATCTCCGCTCACGTCGCCATTTAAAAATTTAATCAATCAATGAAATCCTGTTTAAATCCAAGCCGAATCCAAGCCATCCGGGGGTTTACGTACAGAGTTGATTTTGTGCTTGTTGTGTAAATCCCTATTTATGATTGTATGTTGTATTTGATAAAATATCCATATACGGGTGTCAAAAATAAAGACTGAAAGTATTTTTTATTAAAATACAAATACATCTAAATACGTATTTGACCATGCATGAAGTTGTTCGAAATGTCCATTCAATAATTAAATCGAAGTTGAGATGAATAAAATATAATTCAGTTTTCGAGTGATAAATTACAATTATCACTAAAAAAACCGACCATTTTTCAATCATAACTTTATTGTCTCTAATCCATCGAAATGGCGTTTCCCGGCTTCTAATTTTAAAAATTTTCCGTACCCCCCCCCCCCCCTTGCATGCTCATGCCCACTGCATTCGATGTGGGCGGCGCTACCGCCAACACTCTCCGCAGCCAGTAAATTTAATTTACCATGAACACACTTGCAGAAAGTTGGGCCCCCCTAAAAAAATTTTTTGCACGACGCCCCTGAATGGGGTGTGGCAGAGCGCAAATGTAAAATGTAATGAGAGAAATGTAAAATGTAGACACGTCAAAAAAAGCATTTTGCATTTTCCCACAAAACATTTGTCATTTACACTTAACATTTGACGTTTTACATTTAACACTTGCCTTAGAGGTATTTTGACATTATCAATCGGTAGGCCTATTAGGATTTTGTACATTGTACTTTTTACATATAATCAATGGAAACGACATTGTCGCAGAGCATTTAATATTGGCAGCGATACCCTTCCATAGGGCTTAGGTACCGTATGGTACGGGTTAAAGCTAGGTCCAGGGTTAGGGTTAGGCCAATCCATGTAATTTTGTTCTTGCTAAAGTTTCTGCGTGGATTTGGATGGCTTATTCTGTCATTGGCTGTGTTATTATATAAATCTATAGCTGTATTTCGCTGCCTGGCAACCAACATTGATTTTTTCTTTTTAAACATTTTTAAATTTATTAAAACAAAATTGTTTTAATTCGAAATGACCACTGTTTGTAGTCACGTGGATACAATCCGCTTTCTTTAAAAATTTTAACGACACGGGTTTCTAGAAGAAGCGAAAATATTCGTCGTTAATAAAAAAATAAGGGAAACAACTCTCAATAATCTATAAATAGACCCCACGTGTTGCTTCACTCTACACATTTCGAGAAGATTCTGAAAAATGGCGGATAAGAAGACGCAGTCGGAGACAGAAAAACAAAAAGGGAATGATGCCTACAAAAACAAGGAATTTGATACTGCTTTGAAACATTATGATTCGGCCTTTGAACTTGATCCAACCAATATTACAATACTGACCAACAAAGCCTCAGTATATTTAGAAATGGGTGAGTAGATCTAGACAGTTGCCATAATTGAGATTTCGGGGGATAACTTCTGACGTCTATGAAGAGTTGTCTTGATCAGTGATGACTAATAACCTATTAGTATTATTTCTGGAGATATAATCCATTCAGCAGCAGGCATTTTAAGATTTCTTACTATTATAAATTTAAGAGGGAGCTTATAATTAATTTGGATAGATTGGTCAAAATTCGTCCACTCAGAGTTTTGAAGGTGTTCTACTAGGCTACTGGGTACGGCAAATCCACCGTCTTTGGGCCTGCTTGATTTGTCGATATCAATGATATTATCATAAGCTAGTCGGTTTCTATCACTGCATATGCCGGTCATGTGACAGTATCAACCAAATCAAGGATTGAGTCTAAATATTAAGCATACATGTGATTGGCCACAAGTAAAATGTCAGGAGAATTAAGGTCAAAAGAGGGAGACTTTAATCACGCGTTAAAATTACCCACCCACCATGAATAAAAGACAAATTAATTTACACATTTCAATATCATTTTAATATGCATGTAGGCCTACATTAATAAATTTAAAAACTTTTGATTAGCAGTTTTGGTCATTTGAGGTGCAGTTACATATATATATACTCAATATTAATTAAATGTAACAGTTTACTTTTAATTTGCCTTGATAGCCCATTTACATTACGGTAGCTGTGGTTATTGTCATTTTGGAAAATTTTATTCATATTTTGTGCATAACTTGCAAGTTACTGATCTCACACGGTATGAATTGTATTGTTGATGATATTTTCAACACCATTCATGTACGATCCTTTACGTGTGCTAAAAAATTCCAACTGCAGACGACATAATGTTGATGTCACGTGGTCTGAATTACCTTGCTGTCCACATTGGTAACATAACCGTAATGAGTTTAAAATCACACATTACAAATTAAAAATGTATGTAAAAAAAGCCCTATTAATTCATCCTGTTCTGAACATTCACAATACTATTTAATTATGTTTTATTGTACAGAAATTGCCATGAATACGAGACTGACATAAGCGCGCGATGTCAAACTTTCAGTTTTGCAAAGCGGTAGCTTCCGGGGCCCGTAGCTTCCGACTAATTACGTAATATTATGTCAAACTTAGAGCATTGTGTTGGTCATTGTAAAATTTATTCAACATCGAAAATCATGAATATTACGACCAGGACTTTATTAATTTCGTATAAAAACAATAATTATCGTGTTATTTAAATGGTATTGTTCCAAATACGAAAACATCGGAAATGTATTCAGGCCGTCTTACTAATTATAGTAACAACATTCAACACAACATTTAACAAAAAAAAGTCTGTCTCGTTTTATTTCGATGCTATTTGATTACAATTTTGACTCTCAAAAAATAAAATTACAAGAATTGAAAACGCAGGAGTATTTGTCTCCCGATCGGGAGCTCGGGAGATCAGGGGTGAAATCGGGAGACTCCCGCGAATTGCGGGAGGTATCACATGTATGATTAAGACCACATGCAGATTTCACCAAGGTCACAAAATGTACACAGGGCTAGCAGTAGTAGCACTAACCTTATAAGTCAGGGTTTGCACAGCTACTGCCTGAGTTATTGCCCTTGATTACATTGAAAAATCTTGTGCACGCTTTAGAGGATAAAAGTTACCATGCGATTAACTTAACCCCATTTTGACTTGCTACACCCACACAGTGATACACCCCAATAATCATACTCCTCGCAGTGTTTTGTTTGATTAGAGCTAATAATAATCAATACTCTTTAAACAGAGCCCCAAATTGGACCAAATATATTTACATAACGTTACGTCATATGACTCACGATTTTATTATTCCCAATTAACCAGTGCATAGCAGAATATTACAGAAAAACTAATTGCGTGACAAACGATGCTACCAACACGGATACAATGTAAACAATACAGTTCGGAGACGAACACGACTTTTCACCGTTTTTAATACCTTAAATCACTGTTCAAAGTTTTAGGGAAGACCACAGATTAAACGAAGGGCTGTCATGTACTTGGGATAGATTTGATTGAACGGGAAGAATAGACACACTCCCTCAAAAGCTCAAGCCAATCCAGCAATGGCCAGAGAGGGATTTCTCCCTCTCTGGCTATTGCTTCAGGAATATGCCCAATAATATGAATTTCATTTCAATGGGATATTCAAGAAAATAATCACATTACTGTATGTTAAAAAGTGGTTAACAACATCAATTAAACCAAAACTCAGATCACTCCCTTTTTCCACCAAACCAAACCCTCACTCATTTTAGATCTACTACTAACAAAATTAGGAATGCATCTTTCAGATCAACATCAATTTGACTCGGTTCTATAATGAGAATTTTCTGCTTAGGCTAATTATATAAGTAGCAATAAGAAATTTGAATAGTCAAGACTTTGGAACATAACAATTCTGCTTTTGATTGAGGTAGAATGTTTAAACTTGATGATGATGTTGATTAGGTGAATGTCTTGACTGAGTTCAATGATTAACATTTGGAGATGAAGCTAAGCAATTTCATTGGTCGATGCTTTGGGACATAACTGATGTAGAGTTTGATCGTGAACATTTTATACTTAAGCTAAGTACCGGTATAGAAAATCATTTCGATAGCTCGATACTTTTGAAAAAGATAAATGTGCAATTAATCAATATGTACCATCTATTTATGTCCGGATTTAGGCGGCGAACATCAACCTCACTGTCGGCTTGTTTTCCTTGTTTTGGCAAAATTTCCCACATGGGTCCTGTAAAGAATATTTTCTGTTAAATTAATTTGAATTCTCGAGTTCTATACTTGTTTCACTATCTAACTAAGACTGGGACGTCGGGTCTCACTGTTTGAAAAAATGATGGAGAGCCATAAGGAGTCCTCCTAAATATCCTGAGGAGAGTGATTTACTCTCCTGAAATTTAACATAAAGTACATATAAATGGTTGGAAGAATTCCTGGTATAGTGCAGGTAAGATTGGAGCTCAGAGATACCATTAGGGCAGAAATGAAGCTATCCTGTCAGAACAATCCAAGCAACTCAGCTTACAAATATTCTGAGAAACTTTCTGCGTTTATTTCCATTCCCAACATTTATGGGATTAATACTTTTCCAGATTTGAATACTTTTTATTGACCCACATTGAAATGTGGTCATATATTGTTGTCACCCCTGTTCGTCAGTCCGGTGTCCACAATTGCTTGTGGACGCTCTAGAGGCTAAAGTTAATATCAGATACTTTAAATATATACACAGTGTTTAAGGTCATGAGACAAATAAGCATATTGATTTTCAACAATTGCTCATAATTACTGCCGGAGTTGTGGCCTTCGATCACTTTGAAATATCTTGTGGACACTCTTAGATGCTAAAGTTAATATCCAATTGACTTTAAAAGTTATACACAATAATGTTCATGAAATGAAGAAGCCTATCAATTTTCAACAATTTCCGATAATTAGTGCCCGAGTTATGGTCCTTGATCACTTCGAAAAAATCTTGCGGATGATCTACAGGCCAAGGTGATCATTCGATTGACTTAAAATTGATACATAGAGTTTAAGGTCTTGGGACAAACAAATAATTGATTTTCAATGATTTTTGATAACTTGAACAGCTCAATCCAAAATATTAAATTTTTTGTATACTAAACGTTAGACTTGGGTAGAACTAGAGGTCATACAAATTCTAATGATTTTTTGATGTTACTTAATGAGTTGTTATAAATATTTCATTACCGACAAAAGAAAAAAATTATGCTGCTGTGGGCGTATGTTTTGTTGCCTGGCAACCTATCTTTCCATCTTTTGTAAGATAAACCACAGTTATGTCAATCCCCACCATGTGGCTGTAATTTTATGGCACATTATGTAAATAATTGGTTATTTTTATTTCAGGTGAGTTTGATAAATGTCGAGCAGAGTGCGAGAAAGCTGTGGAAGTAGGAAGAGAAAATCGAGTTGACTACAAACTCGTTGCAAAGGCTCTCTGTAGGATCGGCACCTCGTATTTAAAACAGGACGACTTGAAGAACGCTCTTGTTTATTTTAATAAATCGTTGTCTGAACATCGTGCACCAGAAGTAATCAAAAAAGTTACAGAAGTTGAAAAGAAGCTGAAAGAACAGGAACGAAAGGCGTATATAAATCCAGACATCTCCCAGGAAGAGAAGACGAAAGGGAACGCATGTTTCAAAAAAGGGGATTACCCAGAAGCTGTTAAACATTACACAGAAGCCATCAAGAGGAATCCTGATGACGCCAAGATTTACAGTAATCGTGCTGCCTGTTTCACAAAGTTAATGGAGTTTTCTCTGGCGGTGAAAGATAGCAACAAGTGTATTGAATTGGATCCAAAATTTGTGAAGGGTTATTTGCGAAAAGGTACAAGTCTGCTGGCTATGAAAGAACCTACAAAGGCTGCTATGGCTTTTCAAAAGGCGTTGGAGTTGGATCCAGATTGCCAGGAGGCTGTGGAAGGATATCGTAAGGCAACACTTGAAGAGAATAGTGATCCGGAAAGTATCAAACGAAGAGCGATGTCCGATCCAGAAGTACAACAGATCCTCGGGGATCCGGCAATGCAGATGATTTTACAACAGATGAGTAAAGAACCCCAAGCTGTGCGAGAACATTTAAAAAACCCAGAAATAGCCGCTAAAATACAAAAACTCATGGAAATGGGTATTATAGCAATTCACTGATGTGTGTGGAAATAATTTGATCACAGATTTCTTGTTTGTTTGTTATTCAATGTTTATTTGAATTATGGTCATATTATTCGTATTTTGTTTTTGTGAACAAATCAGATACTTCGTTTCATGGATAGATTTGGAAATTATTTTTTTTTTTTTTTTTTTTTTTAAAGGGTAGTGCACACATCAAGGAATTTTATAAAGGTAAGCACTGGCTACATAATGAATATGACTAGTGATGGTCCAATATGACTACTATCAGTGACATTTTTCCGCTCTCTGTCTAAAACTTCTATGCATTGTGACAGCGTGCTGACAATACTAGTAGTGAATTTGATAGAAACAAAGAGAAAAAAATGCCATAACGTAATAAGATTTGGAAATATTTCACGATCAACGTCAGTGATCAAGTAAAGCCAATTTCCCCGAGGTTTTACCAGCATAAAGAATCACACTACATCAAATTTGATGTGCCATCTATGCTCGAACCACAGTAGAATTTGTGGAATTATTTACGATTACATTGTCACTTTGTAAAGTGCCCCTGAACATGTTATTTGAAAGGGCGCACTATAAATATGCTATGATATTAATAATTAATGTCTGTTTGCACATGCGTAGAAATGATATTCCTAAAAAACAAATGCATTGAGAGACCCGAACTGTCAAACAATGTGCTAATAAAAACATACGCAAATAAGGATTCTGCACTGTTTACTCTTTCCTTTTTTGCAGCCTCAATAAGAGTCTGTATTATATCTAAATAGCAACGCACACACACTACTAAAATAAAAGTACAGCGTGTCCAGCAAAATAATGATTTGTTCGCAACTTGAATAATATTTTAAAGGTAATACTAATTACCGAGCCCTTTATATCAGATATCGACGGGTCTTCCAGTAAGACCGAGTCGCGTCCAATACCGATTTCTACCCATGGGTCAATTATCAGCCAGCTATCGATATTGAAACCAATTATCGGACCATCACTAAATATGACACTTGGCAAGGTCTGGGATAGAGGATGTTTTCTGTTCATGTACCGTACCTTTTTTTTATATAGAACTTACACCTTGTCCATCACTTGATACTAAACGATATTTATTTGTCACATCGACAAACTTTAGCGTTAACTTTAACAGTATTATTGATAAGTTTCTTTACGACTGATCTATTAATCCGATACCTTGTGGGTTTATGATATAAATGTTATATATGAATCTACGTGTGTGTAATGCTACAATATACTTGTGGGAATTACAATTTTGCCCAGCCATAGCTGATTTCACCCACTTTATATGCATCAGTCACCTTGCAATTCAGATCACAATATGGCTGCAGTATCGTACATGGAAGGTGTTTCTTATCAACAAGAAATTAGGAAATTACCTGTCTCTGTGTCCAGAAATGAAAAACATTCTGAAAAATGAAGGCCAGTGCAGAACAGTAAGACATTGATTCCCATATCATTTTTCGAGAGTTACTGAAAAAAAAAATTGATCAGACATTTCATTTTAAAAGATGTAAGAGTTTGGATCATCCCTATTTATTTTTTACAATGTGACTATTTGTGATACATTTATAAAGAGATATGTACCCATCCCATCCCATCCCTCTCTGTGTTTATATATGTATAATTACTGGTATTTAGACCCTGGACCATGTATATGTTGTAACAATCATCTACGCTTTCATGTAATCTTGATTTAAACACAGATCCTATTTGATTTCGTTTTTTTTTTTTTTTATAGTTCAAAATTTCGTTTCTACACCGTGCAATCGAAAGTCTGAATAAAAACAAAAACAAACAAAAACAGAACGAAATATAGAGCTGTAGTTTAATCTGATTGAGTTTTCATGTTTATGTGTTTTGAAATTGGTGTGGTTTATAGATTAGAAGGAATCACAGCTGGGTAGTACCACCCACAACTAATGCTCCTTAGCCACCCATGTAATATATTTCAGGATATTGCTTTTCTCTCTTTGTGATTTTCAGGTGACAGCACACCGCATGGCATATTGCGTGTCTCTGTTAGCCCATTTGGCACAGAAAGGCATTAAACCCCATTTCATTTGCAGCCCCAGGTTGTCTAGCTTCTTCATTACCATGAAAACAAGAGAAAGTGTGAAATAATGCTGATTAATAATGAATAACCATGATTTTGTTGTTTCCATTTATTTAATCAATATTACAATTTGTATATAATAAAGTAAGTGCTATTATTAGCAAAGTTTTGTTTTATTATTCCTTACTGTATAAATTGATTACTTGAAATGTCTTGATGGTCCAGGAGCCACGGTGGCTAAGTGGGTAAAACGCTGGCTCGGTAGCCTGGAGTTTGCGTGTTCGATCCCTGCATTGATGGAGAAAGTTCATCAGGATTTTCCGACATGGTTTCACCTTGTCAATGGTGCAGGAATGAGGGCCTGACAAGGACAGCTGTCTAGTCGGTCTAGTCGTTCAGATGGGACAAAAAGTGAGGTCCTGTGTATACATTGGCGTGCATATAAAAGATACCATGGCAGTTGGAATTCGATGTAAGAGTAGGCCGTAGTTTGCTGCACGGGCAAAATATATGTTTTTCAGTGAGACGAAGCCTATTTAATTTCAATAATTTCCATTAATTATTGCTGGAGTTGTGGCCCTTGTTTCACTTTGTTGCACCTTGTGAACGCTCTAACGAGACCTAGTTTGTGTATGGGAACGACAAAATTGAACCCTATGTTAGTCCCGAAATGACCTAGTTTGTGTATGGGAAGAAAAATCAAGGTCCTGTGTACACATTGGCGTACACATAAAAGAACTCTTGACATTTGGATGGCAGTTGGAATTCAATGACAAAGAGTAGAAGTTTCCCTAAAAAAGGAAACTGCATGGCATTTGGCCCCCTTCATTTGGTTCTTGCAGAAAAATAGGACGTTAAAACCCTGTTTCGTTTCATGTTCGTCTCCTTGGTTTAAAGTTAATTGTTAAGTATGTTGTGGGTCGGGCACCAGAGTAATTTAAAGCTTGCATTTAGATCATAAGATCTGCCGTTTAGTCCCCGGTTGTATGTGAGAAGGAGTAGGTTCGCCTGTCCAACCTCGTGGGTTTTCTCCAGGTCCTCCGGTTTCCTCCCACTGCTAAAGACCCTTACGCGGAAGTGAATTAATGAAATAAAATTAACTATATGTTAGTCCCGGAATGACCTAGTTTGTGTCGAGTTGACGTTAAACCCCATTTATCTCTCTGTCGTTTAGTGGTTCTCTGGTTTCCTCCCACTGCCCCTACAAGCAAGCGAATTATTGAAATAAAATTGAACCCTATGTTAGTCCCGAAATTACCTAGTTTGTGTCTCAGTGAATGGCCGAATGTTAGCGCATTTTTGTTGTATCATAAGGTCTGTCATTGAGTCACCTGGCATGGTTTCAATTCAATGGTTGTACGTGACAAGGAGTAGGACTGCCTGTTGAACCTGGTAGGTTTTCTCCCGGTACTCCAGTTTTCTACCATTGCTAAAAAACCCTCTCTCGGCATACTTATTCAACATGGAAGTTACGATAGAAGTAAATGTTAATACAACTGTCTTAAATGCTGGGTTCTCATTATCACAATTCGTGCTAGTTCCTTTTGGAACTGTCTTTGAGCGGACGATGGAACTGTCTTTGAGCGGACGATGGAACTGTCTTTGAGCAGACGATGGTCTTTGAGCGGACGATGGAACTGTCTTTGAGCGGACGATGGAACTGTCTTTGAGCAGACGATGGTCTTTGAGCGGACGATGGAACTGTCTTTGAGCGGACGATGGAACTGTCTTTGATCAGACGATGGAACTGTCTTTGAGCGGACGATGTCCACTGACAGTGGATATCGTCCGCTCAAAGACAGTTCCTAAAGGAACTAAATTCGTGCCAGCTAGGAAAACGCGTTAGCGGCCGTCCACACGGTAATCGCCGCTCCTCCTCTCGCAGAAGACCGGCACCGCCGCCTGTAACCCGAAATTTGCATTCCACCCACCCCGCACCGCCTTCACTACCGGTCAGCCCGAGAACGTCTATATCATCATCATCGGTGAGGCCTTTAGGTAGGTCAGCGACCTTTTGGCCTATCAGTTTTTCTACACGGGGATTCGCGGCATTTATTAGAGCGATACTGTTACATTGTGAATTCAGTGCGGGGCTAAATTAGACTAATAGACTAACAATATGTGCCCATATAGTAATAGATATCACTCATTGTCGAACAAGGGGGATATCGACTATGAAATATGTTTTGTTTAGTGATAAAACGTGGTTTGGTTTCCAGGGGTGAAAATAGGACACTCTTAAAAAAAAAATGGATAGTCAACAATGTCGGATGCCGCTGTGAAAAATGGGCCGTTGTGACACTGATCAGCAGTGAATATTCGCTAGTCCGCTACAACACTGATAAGGATGACATCAATGCGAGTCTCAAATATTAACTTTTTTCCACCGACAAATTAAATTCTAAAACATTTTTTTGATGTATTAGAAAAATAAAGACGTTTGACGTATTTGTAGGTAAAAATTATTTCCTATTTAGTGTAAATGGGTTTTAAAATGACTATGTAAACAATGAACGCACCATTCAGCCAATGATTGACGCCGTGTGCTGTGACGGCACGTGTTAAAGGCAGTCGTCTTTTACAGAGATATTAGAGACGATCTGTGAAACAGATTGGTGACAGCTGTGCATCACTCAGTTTATAAAAAAAAAAACTTTTTGTTCGCAATAAAACAATTTTTAAAAAAATATATATCTTTCAAAATCAATTCTAGCCTCGAGTCGGTGGAGAGTATAGAATCTTGCAAGGCTGTTACATTAACACGCGCGTCACTAAACGTGTTTATAACCCAATTGAAATATTTTTCCCTATGTCTAATGTTACTCTTCTATAATGCGGCAATTCTGGCATGATATTAAAATCAAGTAAATATCCAATTTGTTGGCTAATGATGTTTAATTAAATGTAAATATTTTGTTCAAATATAAATCTGATGTCATTCGGTGAACAAGCCGCATCCGACATCCATATTCGTATATCCTGTATGAATGAAAGCATCGTGCTAATAAACAGCTAAATCTATTTTCTAAAGCCAGCTCAATTTTCGTCATGGTCGCCGAGATGTAAATAAGGTTAGGTCACGTGATTGCTGGCGAGATTGTAGGTTAAGGTTAGGGTAAGCATAGGGCTAGGTCCAGGGTTAGGATTGGGATTAGCACTAGCTCTGTTTACATCTCGTAACCTTTGACCAAACTTGAAGTTGGCCTTAAAGACTCAATACCACTCTTGTTGTAACTGGATAATATGTCCCAATCTTTATTCTGGTCAACAAATTGTAATATTTTACAGTATTCCAATTAAATGATGATACAAATTTCATCTTAACACACCTAATTTAAAAAATTGGAAAAATTCAACTAAATGTTTTGAAAAGCCTAACGTAAACCTTTTCAAGTGTGACTTGGATTTAAAAATATTTTCGAACCCTCTGGACAAGTAAAATAGGATGTAATGGATAATCACACAACAGGTAGGACACTTAAACATCTAATACTTAAGGCTAATATTTATTTACTGGAGCTGTCAAGCCAGCAAGAGTGTCTAACCAGGGCTAAACCTGTAAGCCGTCTTGTCATCGGAACGTAGAAAGTTTCCTGATTGGTGTTTTTGAAACGAAATGGTGTATAACGTCCCACTCAATCTGATTAAAACACAGATCCTATTTCGTTTCGTTTTTTATACGCCCACATGGAAATGTGGTCGTATATTGCCGTCGCACCCGTCCGTCCGTCCGTCCATCGCCCACAATTTCTTGTGAACACTCTATAGACTACATTTATCATCTGATTGTTTTGAAATTGATATATTATGTCGTTTGCATTAATGAGATGAAGAATCCTATTTAATTTCAAGAATTTCCGTTAATTTCTTCTGGGCCCTTGTTTCACTTTGTTGCACCTTGTGAACGCTCTAACGACAAAAGTTATCAACCGATCTGTATGAAATTTATATGCATCATTTAAATTAGTAAAACAAAGAAGCCTATTGAATTTCAGCAATTTCCGTTAATTACATTTAGAGTTATCGCCCTTGTTTTCACTTTATTTAATCTTGTGAACTCTCTAATACCAACAGTTATCATCCGATCTGTTTGAAATTGATATACATCATTTAAATTAGTGAAACGGAGAAGCCTATTGAAATTCAGCAATTTCCGTTAAATACGTGGTGAATTATGGCCCTTGTTTCACTTTGTTGTACCTTAGTCAGTCAGTCTGACTGCTCTGTGGCGCTTGTGAATGCTCTAACGACAAAAGTTATTATCCGATATGTATGAAATTTACATGTATCGTTTAAATTAGTAAAACGAACAAGCCTATTGAGTTTCAGCAAAAGAAGTTATCAAAATTACGTCGTTCGAAGCGTGTGTAGAATTTTCGGTGCAAAGCTGTACTCGTTTGAAGAAAATCGGATAAACTTGAAAGAAAAACAGCTTCAGACTTTGAAATATATATTTGTATGATAAAACATTGTTCAAAGACGTCGTCATGGGCAACGTCGTTGGTAATCCAGGAACTTGAAAGTAGTTCCATTGGCGGACTTCGTCATACAGCCGAGGCTGTAGGGTACTGGAATCGGCTGAGGTTTGCTGAGTGCCACTAGAAATTAGCAGAAATATTGTATTGGTGTCTACGATATCACTTCGGTGTAAGCGGACGTTAAATAAAGCTATTTCACACAGTCTTGGAGCTTCTGATTTCAAAATGACCACCATTCCCGTAGTCCCAGACAATGCCAATTTTTACCTGCAGCCTTTCAACACGGTGACATCTAGGTGAACATCAGGCACGTGTCTCCAGAGGAGGGCGTCCGAGAGCGCTCGGAGCTTCCCTGGTATTCTCCATAGAGGTTTATATAATTGATATTTACATCTCCATGGTAATTAACCGCACCTCACGCCAAACTTGACGTTGTCTGCATCGCTGCTCAAACTCTTGGACATTGCCTATAGAGTTCGGCTAATATTTAGGAGGGTTGGGGGTGTCTATTGGTTTAACGCATACGCGTGAAATCACAAGGTCTGTCATTGAGTCAAGTGAGATCGCCTGTTTCCTCACACTGCTAAAGACTCGGCTACACGCTATCGAATTATTGAAATAAAAAAAAATTGAACCATATGTTAGAACGTGTCGAGTGGACGTTAAACCCTCTCTCTCGCTCTCTCT